TCGTATCGCTTCGCCGGGCGTCTCCCCGGGGAGGTCCCACTGGATGCCGTTGATTCCTGTTTTGTACAGCAGCTGCCCCGTGCGGGGGTCTTTGGGCTCTGGCCATTGCCGCGGGTCGGGCCTCTGGTGTGGCCGTGTGTCCTGGCCGTAAGTTTCCACCGCAAGGGCCTCGCTGCCCTGGCTGGAAGACTCGCGATCTGCTCGCGACAGCTGCAGCTGCACTCCTGGCAGGACCCTGTGGGGACCTGCGGGCCTCAAGGTTGGCCGCCAGGCTGGCACGGTGCGGGGGGAACTGCTCACAATAGGGAGGCCTGCGCCAGGATGGGAATTGTGCCCATGTCCTGCAGTAAAGAGTGCCCTGCGCAGTACTGTGCGTCCGCGTATAGTGGCCCGCGGCGCCGGCGCAGGCGGCGGCAGCAGCGGGGCCAGCGGCCAGGGCGGCCGCAGAGGCCGCCTGGGCCGCGGCCGCGCAAGCGGCAGCAGCGTCGGAGGCCGCGGCGGCGGCGCGCGCGCCCGTGGCCGCGGCGGCGGCCGCGGCGGCGGCCGCGGCGGCGGCGCCGTCGCCGGCAGCCTCGGGGGCGGCGCAGCGCCGGCGGCGCCGGCCGCAGCAGCAGCCGCGGCGGCAGGCGTGTCGGAGGCGGCCGCGGCGGCCGCGGCAGCCGCGCCAGCAGCCGCGGCGGCGCCCGCGGCGCCGCCAGCGCCAGGGCCTCCAGCCGTCGGAGGCCGAAGGCCGGGGGCCGGGGCGGCGCCGGCGAAGCGGGCGGCGGCCGCACGCCGTTGCCGACGCCGGCGAGCCGCCGGCGAGGACGCAGCGGCGGCGGCAGGGCCGCGGCCAGGCGCGCGGCCGTCCGCCAGGCCAGCGGGCGCCGCCATGGCGCAGGGGAGGGGCAGGTCAGGAGGAGGGCGCCCCCATCCCGACCTGCCCCGGGCAGCGCGCCCGGGGGGCGCAGGCGAGGCCGGCTCGGCTCGGTCTTGAGCCAGAAGGCTTGAGCCAAAGGCTACGGCTGGTGGGGATACGCGAAACGTCAAAATTTAGTATCCTTCCTCCTTAAATCGATCATCTCCAAGATGGTCCCAAGATGGCCCCCGAGGACCCCAAGAGCGCCCCACGAGGGCCCCAAGAGGCGGCCAGAAGGCCCGAAGAGAGCCCCAAGAGTCAAGAGACCCCCAAGATGCCACCAAGAGGCTCCCAAGAGACCCCCGAGAGGCCCGAAGAGGCTCACCCGAGGCACTCAAGACGCTTCAAGAGACCCCCAGGAACGCCACGAGGCCCCCAAGACGCCCCAACAGACCTTCAAGAAGCTCTCAAGCGACATCCGAAGAGACTCCGATAAGTATCCAAGCGGCCGCTGGCCTCTTTGTTCGCCCTCCTTCTCCTCTCCCTTTTCCTCATCCGCCTAATCCTGCTCCTCCCTCCTCCCTCCTCCCTCTTCTCTCCTCCTCTTCCTCCTCCTCTTCCTCGTCTTCCTCCTCCTCCTCCTCCTCCTCATCTTCTTCTTCTTCTTCTTCTTCTTCTCCTCCTCCTCCTCCTCCTCCTCCTCCTCCTCCTCCTCCTCCTCCTCCTCCTCCTCCTCCTCCTCCTCCTCCTCCTCCTCCTCCTCCTCCTCCTCTCCTCCTCCTCCTCCTCCTCCTCCTCCTCCTCCTCCTCCTCCTCCTCCTCCTCCTCCTCCTCCTCCTCCTCCTCCCTCCTCCTCCTCCTCCTCCTCCTCCTCCCTCTCCTCCTCCTCCCTCCTCCTCCTCCTCCTCCTCCTCCTCCTCCTCCTCCTCCTCCTCCTCCTCCTCCTCCTCCTCCTCCTCCTCCTCCTCCTCCTCCCTCCTCCTCCTCCTCCTCCTCCTCCTCCTCCTCCTCCTCCTCCTCCTCCTCCTCTGGTTCTTCCTACATCCTTTCGGGTGGAGATGGCTTGCCAGCCTTTCTACCACCGCGTGCGCTCTCCCACGTGCCTGATCAGGGAAACTCGCCTCGGCATCGTTTCAGGATGGGCTGGTGGGTTTCTGCGAAGCGCCCAACATTTTCTTCGATGCGGCCACCATTGTGTGTGACCATGGCTTTGCGTCGGGGTGGCCGCTGCTCCTCGTGCGACCATCGGGTCTGCCGGAGCGCCCGCCGCGCCCGATCGTCTTTCAGCCTGTGAGCCGCGGCCGCACCATCGAAAACGATCGTCTCGCTGGTGACTTTTCCCCAGAAGAAATGAATCGTCACAGCTCCGGTCGCACGCAAGACTGACCCTGGGCAGGGAGTGGCTCACGGGGGCGCAGGGTGGCCAAATCCAAGCGCGCAGGCAGCCATGCTCGCGCCGCGCTCAGCGATCGAGAGGACCCCGGTGAGCCCGCCCCAGAAGGTTACACGGGCGAAGGGTCACTCTTGCGTGTCGTCGACAGTTGTGGTCCCCATAGTGTGTGGCCTGCTGGGCCTGCGCGCGCGTCACCGTCTCTGGGACTCGGGGGCCGGGGGCGGTTCTCGCTGCCCCGAGGCCGATCGGTCCACGGACGCGTGCCCGCAAGGGTGCTTCGGCGCGCGGGCATTGCGCGGGCAAGGGTGACCAGCCCGCTCGTCGCGCCAACTGGTCCGTCGCTCTCTGCGCGGCGACGGCGTGGTCTGTCGCCCCCGTGGCAGGGTGGCGGGGGGGGGGGTTCGATTGGGGGGATGGCTAGGGGAGGGGGGGAGCAAGGGCACCTACCGTCACTACCGCGCCCCGTTTGATCTCGCTTCGCGCTCAGGAACACAAAATTGAAGTAAACATTGAATACATGGGCGATCCAGTTGGCATCTCGGTTGCTCTCAGGGAAAGCCCAATGCGAGAATGGCTCGGGCTGGCAGTAGTGCAAGACCAGCCAAAGGAGGGCGGCACCCAGTAGGACTTACGCTAGGAATCCGGAGAGCGATCCTTGCCTGCCAACCAGACCAGAGGGAGGAGGACGACGACGACGAAGACGACCAGGAGGACGAGCTCAAAACCGATGAGGAGGACGCGGACAGCATCGACATCGGTAAGGGTAGCAAGGAATATAACTAGTAAAGGAGGAGGAGGGGGAGAACGGAGGAGAACGCAGAAGAGGGAGGGAAAGGGAAAGTGGGGAAAGCAAGGATGAGAGGAAGGGGGGCCAAGGGACCCCATCCTCCTCCCTCTTCCCCTGCCCCGTGATGAAACATACAACATCGCGATCAATCATGACCGAAGCCTTCGACCCCATGCTTCTGCTGCATGTTTCGAGCCGGATCGAACCGTGAGGGCGATGGGGTCCCAAACCGAGCGAAAATGCCCGGTATAGAACAACATGCGGCGCGACTCGGGTCACCGCTTGGGTTGCTAAAGGGGATGCGGGTGTCAGAAGTGGGTGCTCAGGCGGGTCACAGCAAGCCAAACCTATAGCTCCGGGTGATCAGACAACTCCGCCAAGTGGGCTCCGCCCACTTAGACCAGATCCGCCGGCCCCCTTGTGGGGCCACCAGGCTGTAGGACCGTGATTCGCAGTTTCCTGTACCAGTTGTAGCTTGTAGTTTCCAGTGTTACAATTCTGTTTCTTGCTGGTTACTGTAACTAGTTGATTGACCGCGCGAGGGGGGGGGGGAGGCCCAAACGGGATTTTTAGCACCCCCTGGGCGCGTTGTCTGAATTGCTGGGGGGGCTCGAAATCGACACCCCTCACGCAGATCCGCGGGGTCAGGGTCCAAAAACACAGGGATTTGCCACATTTCTGAAATTCGGTGCCACCCCTCACGCAGATCCGCGGGGTCAGGGTCCAAAAACACATGGGATTTGCCACATTTCTGAAATTCGGTGCCACCCCTCACGCAGATCCGCGGGGTCAGGGTCCAAAAACACATGGGATTTGCCACATTTCTGAAATTCGGTGCCACCCCTCACGCAGATCCGCGGGGTCAGGGTCCAAAAACACAGGGATTTGCCACATTTCTGAAATTCGGTGCCACCCCTCACGCAGATCCGCGGGGTCAGGGTCCAAAAACACAGGGATTTGCCACATTTCTGAAATTCGGTGCCACCCCTCACGCAGATCCGCGGGGTCAGGGTCCAAAAACACATGGGATTTGCCACATTTCTGAAATTCGGTGCCACCCCTCACGCAGATCCGCGGGGTCAGGGTCCAAAAACACATGGGATTTGCCACATTTCTGAAATTCGGTGCCACCCCTCACGCAGATCCGCGGGGTCAGGGTCCAAAAACACATGGGATTTGCCACATTTCTGAAATTCGGTGCCACCCCTCACGCAGATCCGCGGGGTCAGGGTCCAAAAACACATGGGATTTGCCACATTTCTGAAATTCGGTGCCACCCCTCACGCAGATCCGCGGGGTCAGGGTCCAAAAACACAGGGGATTTGCCACATTTCTGAAATTCGGTGCCACCCCTCACGCACATCAATCGCAAGGCGTGGTAACCCAAACTGCGAGTACTCCCTCGGCCCTTTAATCCCAAGGTGTGGTAACCAAGCTCGTAAACCATACACGTCTTACCAATCGCCCTGTGTGGTAACCCCTCTTGTGATCAGTTGGTTTTGCCGATTGCGAATCGGCCTCGCATGAAGTTCCGATACTGCTGCACGACAGCGCCAAAGCCTCATGACTTAGCTCTTCCATGGCCCATTCTCCGAGAGAGGGGGCCGGCGGCAGGGGGCGAAGCCCTTACGGATATGCCGTCCCCTGGACCACCCATATGGGCACTTAGAAGCCAGGTCAGGCCAGATAGATCCCACCCGAACGGCCGCCTCTAGGCCCCTTGTCCCCCGTAGCCAACCCCAGCGGTGATCTCAGCATGACCTCAGAGTTAGGTCGGGCATGTTCCCCTACAGGCGGATCTTGGACGACAGCTCAAAAACATTAAAAACGCACATACCACATGATCGAACAATCGTGGACAAATTGTCCCCTGACTTTCTTTTGACTGGTTTTGAATATCCCTCCTGTAGAGGGACATGCCCGACGTAACCTCAGGGCTCCCCCCCCCTCCCGCTCTTCGGAGGCGCCGGGGCGGGGCGGTCCTGGATGGCGGCCAGGTCGGGGCCGCCGCCCGCCGGCGCGGCGGACCACCGCCCGCCCCGCAGCAGCACGCGGCTCGCCCGGCCTGCGAACAGCACCCTCCTGCGGCGGCGAAGCGGGGGCGCTCTTCGGGCCCCGCGCGGGCACAGAGGGTGCCCTCGTCGGGTTTCGGGCGAGGACACAACCACGGGCGGTGAAAACAACTAGCGACGGGTGGTGTTGTTCAATGTCTTCGGCCTCAAGGAGCCCTCACCAGGCCCTCGCAGCGTCAAGAAGCGGCTCAGGAAGAAACGCCTGTGCCGGGGAGTTGGCACAGACCGCTGGGGATCCAGCCCGCTGGGGGTCCCGCGCGTGCACCCCCGCCCTCACGAAGCCCAGGGGGGGGCAGAGGAGCTCAGCCCCCCCCCCCACCCTCACGAAGCCGAGGCCCGCAGCGGGCGGCGGGGGGACACCTGGGGGCAGCTCCTCGCCGTGTCCAGGCTCAGGACGGTGTTCGGCACCGCCTCCGGCCTGAGGTAGAAGAGGCTCAACCACTCCCGCTGCGCCGCCGCCCCGCCGATGTCCTGCGGAGGAGGAGGAGGGGGAGGAGGAGGGGGGGGAGGAGGGGGAGGAGGAGGAGGAAGAGGAGGAGGAGGAGGAGGAAGAGGAGGCGGAGGAAGAGGAGGCGGAGAAAGAGAAGGAGGAGGAGGAGGAGGAGGAGGAGGAGGATGAGGAGGAGCGGTGGGAGCAGAAGGGTGGCCCGCCGCTCCACCAACCTTCCCCCTCGCCTTGATGGCCTCAGGCGGACGTCAGGACAAGCGTGGGTGGCCCTCCTCCCACCCCACCCCTCAGGAACGGGTCGGCCCCGCTTCGGGCCAGCCCGCGCGGCCGCGCGGCGCGTGCGGGAGACGCTTCGGCAGCGCAACGAAGTAGAGGAGCAGGAGGACGAGGAGGAAGAGACGGAGGAGGAGCCGCAGGATGAGACGAGGAGGAGCAGGAGGAGATGGAGGAGGACACGTTCGGGGAACCCCGATCAACGGCGTCGATCTGCTTGGCGGCTCGCTCCAGATACGAATCCTCCCTGGTGAGACTGGGGATGCGCGAGCGATCCAAATCGAGCAGGCCTATCGGCTGCTGGGGCGCACAGAGCTCCACTCGGGAGCCGCAGGAAGCGAGCGCGTGCGCTGTATGGTCTGCCGCCCTGCAGGAGGACGCTCGACAGCTAGTTCTCAGGATGCTGCCAAACTGAATCGCATCCTGGCCACACACATTGCGCCGCTCGCCACCACGCGGCAGGGCACTGGTCGACAACATCCGAACCACCCTGGGCCCCCGCCACACTTCGCCTCTCGGCGCCGAGTCGCAGCAGCAGACGACCAAACCTCCGAGCTCATAGCCACCCCCAAGAACGCCACATGGCACCACGATGTTCAGGCGCGGGGCAAAATGGCCTCAACCGGTGCCATCCCCCACCACACAGAGTGGCAATGGGAGGCCGCATTCGCACGACCTAGCACGGCACGGGGGCGACCGCCCGCGCAAAACCGCGCGTGGCACGGCACCCTGCAGCGACGGCGTCTGAGCTCGTGTCGAACGATTGACAGCGTAGTGGCCGCAGGCCACCGTCCTGAGACTGATAGGCCACACTCGCCCTTGACATAACAGCGACGGCCCTCATGGGCTGCGTCAAAGATGAAGCTTATGCTTGCAGTGGAAGGCTCAGACCTCCGACACAGCTCTTCTCAACATCTGGGGGGTCCAAAGCTGTCGGCCACTTCCTCAGAGCTGGCCCGTCTTCCCGGATAGCTTTGTGGTTCCGACGCCCGAAAACCGCGTCCAGACGATGAACGTTGTTTTCAGAAACTTGGGCCGACTGTCTGACAAATCTCCAGCAAGCGCTGCGCCAGCCTTGGGACAGCCCCGCTCATTTGGGGCTGCGCCGCACGCGACTCTGCTCGATTTGCCTACAGAGGCCAGCCCAGGAAGCGCTGGGCTGGTGGCAAGCCCAAGCTGCTGTTCGTGCAAACACTCCGGGCCATCAAAACATAATCCTCGCCGTCAGTCATTCGCTGATCGATCGGTTGATTGATCTATCCAAGTGGTGGGGAGTGTCGCAAGCCACGCAAGCTCCCAGGGAGCTGGCCGAGCACAACAAACATTCACAAAACCGCAGCAGCGATAACACGTAAAAGGAACAGTCGCAGAAGGACTACTCGCTCTTCATCGGCCACGTGTCATTCAACGCTCACCCAAGTCCTCGACTCCCGCCCGCTGCGGACACAAACGCACCCCATTCGAGGGGCCTTTCTCATGCCAGCTCGTGGGCACACCACACTAGGGAAAGACAAGCGGGTCGGGCGGGCGGGCCCAAACGGGCGAGTTGGGCGGGCGGGGCATCGAGGTGCGCAGCTATGGATTTCCAGCAATCGCCCTGGAGAACGAGGAGAAGGAGGAGGAGGAGGAGGAAGAGGAGGAGGAGGAGGAGCAGGAGGAGGAGGAGGAGCAGGAGGAGGAGGAGGAGGAGCAGGAGGAGGAGGAGCCCCAACGAGCGGGTCGGACGGCGGTCCCTCACGGGAGCGTCGGGCGGGTCGGCCGGGCGGACCCAGGCGGGCGGATCCGGCGGGCGAGCCCAGACATGCGGGTCGGCCGGGCGGACCCTGAAGCGGGCGGGCGGGTTCCAAGCAGTCGACCCAGCGGACCCCGACGGGCGGGTCAGGCGGGCGGACCCTGACGGGCGGGCTGGCCCCGTCAGGCGGGCGGGGCGGGCAGGCCCGAACGAACAGGTCGGGCGGGCGGACTCGAACGGGCGGGTCGGACGAGCGGTCCCTAACAGGCGGGTCGGGTGAGCGAGCTGTGACGGGCGGGTCGGGCGACCGGGACATTCAAACGCGAATCACGAGAGCGCGAAACACAAATAGTTTTGTCAGGATGTGCTGGACGGGAGCACCATGTCTGAGTGACGAAAGCGCGATTCCTAGTCAAATTGTGAAGAAGCCCGAAGCGAGCGCACGAGTCCTGAGCACCTAGGGCAAGCTGGACAAATCCTGAACTTGTCCCAAATGAGAACGCGAGTATTGAATCAATTGCGTGGACATCTAGAGGGAGAGCGCAATCCGTGAAGAAGTTGTCAAGATGTCTCGAACGGGAACGGTTGCTGTTGTTGTAGCCGGGAAAGGGTGTAGTCTGTACATCAGGAACAGTTGGGCGGCCCTCCGACTTACGAAGGATGAGGAGGAGGAGGAAAAGAAAAAAGAAGGAGGAGGAGGAGAATCAGAGAAATAAGACGATGCCCCGATGACGAGAAGCATAGGCTGTCCTTGGAGAAATCGTCAACTGGGCCGCCGTGCAGGGCCGAGCCGGGCCGCCAGGGAGGGTGGTGGTGCCACGCGCGCCCGATGAAGAAGTCCCCGTCGGGATCCACCTCGCGCGGCACGCCGCGGCTGGGAGGCAACACGGCCAGGCCACGCTCCTCGGGCCACGGTGCCGGGCCTTAAGTGCCCCCCGTGGGCACACTCCCGGGGCCCCCGGGGCCGAGCTGGTCGGGCCACGCCTGGCCGGGCCACGCTCCTGGGCCGCACCCCTGGGGCCAGGCTGGCCAGGCCGAGCTGACCGAGCAGCGCCCCCGGGGGGGGGGGGGAAGCAAGGCTCCTCTGGGGGCTCTCGAGGAGAAACTCTCGGCACGGTTGGATGGCCCCTGACGGGACCGGCGGCAATGATGGCGGCGTGCACGCTGCCACCTACATGACCACGCCGCTCTAAGCGGACAAGGCGGGGGCTGCGCGCAGAACTGCTCCCCAAGGCCGCTTTCCATCTTCCTCCAGAGGCCCCGAGCAAAACTACAGAACGATTGAAGACCTCGATCATCCCTCCACCTCCTCCTCCTCCTCCCTTACCTCCTCCTCCTCCTCCTCCTCCTCCTCCTCCTCCTCCTCCTCGTCCTCGTTGCCGTCCTCATCCTCGTCGCTCGCTCGCTCGCTCCTCCTTTTCCTCCTTCCCCTCCTCCCTCCTCTGACTCCCCTCCCTCTCCTGCTCCTCCCTGCCACTCCAGCAGAACTACCTTGGACGGGGGCTCGTCGTGTGGGAGCCCGGCCTGACCCCGGACCCTGGACCCGGGGTGTCAGCCCGGGGTCTGGGCAGGCCCAAAGACCACACAGCATCTCGCGAACCCCTTTCCCTCCTTCTCCCAGGCCCCCGGCATCGAATGTTTCTCGCAGCGCGGACCCCCGAAGGTCTGGACACATGCCCCGGGACCGGCTGTTCGTCCCAGGTGTTTGTTGCTCTTCCAGGCGAGGGTCCGCAAACGCCAGAAGTAGAGAAGAACCGCCCGTCGTGATGTGACCGTGACGCGAGGGGTCTGGGTTCTTACTCTCGAGGAGGGATGGCGGGGAGGTCGCGGGGGCCCACCAGCCGGCCGTAGACCATCCAACCGACGAGCTGGTTCGCCAGGACGGAACCCGCCCCCGCGGCCACCGACCACAAGCACCTATGCTTTCAGTTTTTTGTTTTCTCTCTCCCTCTCTCCCTCTCTCTGTCTCTCTCTCTCTCTCTCCCCTCCCTCTCTCTCTCTCTCTCTCTATATATATAGCCGTTTCTCCTTCTCTCCCTATATTGTTGTTCCTATATGTATACATATATGTATATCTGTAGACACGCATACACATACCCAGACACATAACAGACACACAAACGTACCCATAAACGTGCACATACACATAAACAAACGCATACACATACGCATGCTCATAAACATATACATACACATTTGCCCTCACATATTCCTGCACACACATGTATATAAACGTACAGGCTTATGCATATATGTGTATGCAAGTATGTATTCCTCTTTGAATACTCTCAACCTGCCTTTGTGCTGGGCACTCGTATTGAATTCGGAAAGCCGCGCGTCTACTCTTCCTTCTCCTCCTAAATCATTCCTCCGCACTCCTCCGTCCACTGTCTCATCCTCCTCTTCCCTCCTCCCATCACCACCGCCATCAGCATCATCATCGCCATCATCATCACCACCATCACGAACACCATCACCATCACCACCATCATCACCGTTAGCATCAGCATCAAGATCACCTTCATCATCACCATACTCCACAACACATGATCAGCATCAGCATCATCATCATCAGCATCATCATCAGCATCGTCATTGCCAGCTTCATGACCACTATACTTCTCAACACCATCATTAGCAACACCATCATCATCACAATCAACATCATCAGTATCCTCATCATCATCGTCGTCGTTGCTAACATCATCATCTCCAGACCCGTTACCACTGGCTTCCTTCTCATCATCGTTCCGCCAAACTCCTCACGCGCTTCGTGGCCCCATGGAGAGCTCCACCAAAGGCCCCAGTGGCAGAGTCTGCATGGTTACCCGCCCCGCTTCGGCGCACTCCCTCACACGCTCCGTGGCCCTATAGGGAGCCCCGCCGAAGGCCCCAGTGGCAGAGTCCGCATGGTTGCCCGCCCCATTGCGGCGCAAAGGCCTCAGTGGCAGAGTCCGCACAGTTACCCGACCCATTTCGGCGCACCCCTCACACTTTTGGTGCCCCCTCTATAGAAAGCTCCGCTGAAAGCTCCAGTGGCAGAGTCCGCACAGTTACCCAACCCATGCCGGAGCACCACTCACAAGTTTCGTGGCCCCATGGGGAGCTCCACCGAAGGCCCCAGTGGCAGAGCCCGCATGGTCACCCGCCCCCTTGCGGCGCACCACTCACACGCTCCGTGGCCCCATAGAGAGCTCCACCAAAGGCCCCACGTGGCAGCGTCCGCATGGCTACCCGCCCCGTTTCGGCGCACCCCTCACACGCTTCATGGCCCCGATAGAGAGAGCTCCACAGAAGCCCCCAGTGGGCAGAGTCCGCACGCATACCCGGCCCATGAGTTGCGCAGTGTCCATGGGGACTGCCGATCCCTCAAGATGTTCATGTGTCCTGAGCGTTCCTGCTGATAGCCGCCACGCGTTCATAATGGATTGGGTTACTCGCCTAGCTAATTCTTTATACCGGCCCCCCCGCACATACATTCCCCCCTCGACGCTTGGAGCGGCTCAGGAGGGCCCAAGACCGCCCCAAGACCGCCCAAGACGACCCCAAGACGGCCCTGGAACGCCCGAGGAGGCCTCACGAGGGTCCGAAGAGCTTCGAGAGACTGCCAAGATGGGCCCACGATGGCCCAACATGGGCCCAAGATGACCAGTAGACGACCCATCGGCCTCCAAAGACGGCCCAAGAAGGCACCAGCAAAGCTCCCGCGATGCCCCCAGAAGGCAAACATTGTAGGTTGTCGATCGGTTTCGGTAACATTTCATCATGCCCCGCTTCTCGGCCTCCAGAGCGCCCGAGACGTCCGAAAACGCCTCCCAGATCGCTCCAAGATAAACTCATGCGCGCACCAGACTGCCCCAAGAAGGGATCAGAATTGCCCAAGGAAGGCCCAAGACCGCCCCGAGACGCTCCAAGAGCCCCTGGACCGGCTCCAAGAGGGCCCCAAGACAACCCAAAAGACCCCCAAATCGTTCCCGAAGGAGCTTCAGACAACCCAAGAGGCCCCCAAGATTGCCCAGAGGGGCCCGACGGCCCCAGAAGGCCGCAAGATGGCTCAAGAAGCCTCCACGACGGCTTCAAAACGGCCCCAAGAAGCCCTGAATAGAGACCCTTATGCGAACCTGCAAGGGTACGACTCTATGTATACACATTCCACTTCGACATCTCTCATATCGGAACCTTCCTCACAGAAATTCCCCCCTGGCGATCCCATCGCCAGAACTTGCATGTTGAGTTCTGGGTGCCCCCCCGCAGCCTTTTTGCAACCGCCCCGGCAGAACCCAGATCGCTTCCAGAACTGGACCACGACTGATCCAACACGCCCTCGATCGCTTCAAGATGTATTCGAGATAGCCCCAAAGGCCACGAAGAGCCCGCACAACAGACCCAACATCTCCACGAGAAAACAAGCGCTTGAAGATTCCGTGTTTGCTACGCCGTCCATAGATTCCGATATTCCCGCTCTTTGGAGTGTCCGACCGCCCATCAGCCAAGAGCCTTCCGAACCTGCGACCCCACTGAGCCCTATCAGCCCCACACCGTCACGAGCCCTACGATCCTCCCTGTCCACCTCTGCACGCCAGCGAGCCCCAGGACCCACCCGAGCTCCCTGAGCCCCACGACGAGCCCAATCCCGAAAGCCTTCCGACCCGGCGACCCCCATGAACATCCCCCCCAGGCACCCTGCAAACCCCCACGGCTTCGGTGAGCCCTGTGAGATCCACAAACCCCAAGGCCTCACGAGCCCTACGCTCCACTCGGCATCAATGAGCCCTACAAGCCCCACGAGCCCGATGGCCCCACAAGCCCCACGACCCCCACGAGCTTTATGAGTCTCAGGAGCCCTACGAGCCCTATGACCCTGGGAGCCCCATGAACTGCATCGTCCCCACGAACTTTCTCCAACCGTCTGACCCCTGCGAGCCCTATGAGGTTGCCGTGCCCTGAGAGCCTTACGCGCCCCGTGAGCTCTACGACCCTGTGGGGCCTCCCCAGCTCTATGAGCCTTACGAGTCCTATGAGCCCGACGAACCCGACGAGCTCTACGGGCACTATGACCCCCATGAGCCCCACGAGCGTATGACCCACATGAGCCCTACGAGCCCCACGAGCCCTGCGAGCCCTACGATCCCTACGAGTTTTATGAGCCCTGTTAGCGCTTTGCGCCGCATGAGCCCTATGAGCGCAGGCCACGTCAGCCCTGTCAGGTCCACGGGCCCCCACGAGCCCGATGACCCCCACGACCCCTACGATCCATTTATGAGCCCTACGAGACCCACGACCCCTTTGAGCCGCAAAAGCCCAACGACCACCGTAAGGTCTGCAAGCCCCACGACCCCCGCAAGCCCTATGGCCCCCTCGACTCCCCAGAACCCTAAGACCTCTATGATCTCTGCGACCCGAAGCCCCTGCCTGAACCCCATGACCCCCACACCCAGCATAAGTCCAGCGAAATCCACTATCCTTACGAGTTTCCTCAGCCCTGGTATCCTCACGAGCCCTACGAGCCCCGCAACCTTTTGCACGCCCGATAATCCCCAACACCCCCCCGATGAGCCCCACAAACCTAAGAGCTATATGATCCGCACCGTTCACCACTGTCCCGTGCACACCAGCGCATTCCGCAGCCTGCCCGGCTCAAGCCACGAGCACGACGCTGTGCACGCGCCCCGCCCCATCAAACTGCGCGGAAGACCAGCAGCGGCTACGCTGGCATGTTCCGTCTGCGGCGTGCCAAAAACCCATTCCCAGAACGCCCAGGGGCAACTGCATGTCAGAGACCACACGTGCCGAGAGTGCACCACACACCCCCCCCGCACTGTTCACGTGTTTTCACTGCAGCGTTTCCCCAAAAATTAAGACATGCAGCTGCGCACGCTCGGAAGTGCCAGGCGTGCACGGGGCTGGCTTCCACGCTCACACGTGCACGGTGCGACCTAGCAAGGCCCGAGCAAGACTTGACCGCCACCCAACTTCACATCCGAGACCGCATCTGCGGTGAATGCGCACGTCCAGGAGGACGACCTCGCGCCACCAAGAGCTCGCACCTTGGACCTCATCGTCATGCTTGCGCTCACTTTGGCGCTGTTTTCTTCGCACACGCAGTGCACGGGTTGAGTTGCAGCGGTGGCAAATACGCCGTAGATTTCGGCATGCTTGTTCCCCGACCCGATGCCGATCTCGCACGTCTCCTCAGCACCACATGGACTTACCCGATGCCTCTGGCAGGCCCGTGCACGACCCTTCAACGAATGCCCCTCGCCTGCCAGGGTTCTCCGCTCTTTCACGCCGATGCAAAAACATGTTCTCTCTCGCAATGTACGGAATTCAAAGCTCCACGTAGGTAAAAGAGATGCGCTTTGGAAACGAACTAAGCCCGTCCAACATCCGCATCCACGGCACCATGCACCGCGAACCTTAGGAGCCTCGCGTGCCCTGAGAGCCCTACGAGTCCCATGAGCCCTATAAACCTCGCGACCCCTACGACCCCCTATAAGCTCAATGAGCAAACTCACGAGCCCTACGAGGCCGTGCTCACGAGCCCTACGAGGCCTGCGGGCGCCATGGCCCTCGGGAGCCCTACAAACCCTGCGAGCCGTATGAACCCTGCGAGCCCTACGACCCGCATTACGCATACGAGCCCTACAGCCGCATGCACCCCATGAGCGCTGGCGCTACACGCCCTACGACCCCTAAGAAACCCATGGACCCTACGTCCCCTACGGTCCCTACGGCACCCATGGGCACTACAAACCTTATGAGCCCCATGTGCCCCGCCAAACCCAAGAGGCCTGTGAACCCTCAGAGGTCTATGAGCCTTACGAGCCCTATGAGCCCTATGACCCCCATAGCCCTA